GATGGTGGCGGGCCAGTCGGAGAGGAGCGTAGACGGTGGGCTTTCGCCGAATGTCCCAGCGTCTTCTTCGGCTGGAGAAGAGAGAGAAGAAAAAAAAATTCGTTTTCAGAAAATGAAAACGTGAAAATGAAAACATTTTTTTTTCGTTTTCAGTTTTTCAGAAAAAGACAAAAACGTTTTTGTTTTTATTTTTTTAAAATTTTTACACCAAACACATTTTATGTTTCCGTTTTCATTTGTTAGTCTCGAAAAATGTAAAAAATAAAAATGAAAACGGAAACAAACAGGGCCAAAAAGTTCCTCCACAAGGTTTGTTGGTAAAACCCAAATATAATCAAAAGGAAATACTTCGAGTTTAAAATTTGTGATTTTTAACCTTTAAGTTTAAATCAAAAAATTTAAACCTATATGTGAGTTTATTATAGTTCGAATTGACGTTTGATAGTATAAAAGCTAAACAGTTAATTAAATTTGAGCCAGTGTTTGATCACATCATTAGAACTATGAATTTTTTAAGAAATGTCAGTGAAAATAGTGGTGAGGAACCTTAGGTTGGGTTATTGTTACGCAACATGTTAGAACCCATCAAAACTTTTAGGCGGGAGTAAGGAGAGGTCAAGTTGGAGACAACCTTGAATTTTGAGTTCAAAAATGAGTTGAGAATTTAAGTATAAATTATTATGCAACCAAATAAGGGTTCAAGCTAGTTTTTGGATTCAAACCTTTCAAAAATCCATTCAACCAAACGGCGCACAAACCAAATGGCCCATAAATACATACTAGGGCGTGGAACGCTCAAATTTAAATATGATTAAAAAACGGAATTCCTACGAAATTAAGGGCCCGTTCACTTCGCTGATTCGAGTTTGTAATTCGAGTTGAGATGTGATTTTATGTGAGAGTTTTTTACTGTAGCAAAAAAGTTAAATGTGACTGTTTCTGAGAACTTTTTACTATAGCAAAACTCGAATTCTAAACTTGAATCAGTGAAGTGAACGAGGCCTAAAACTACATCAAAACTTTTCCTAAAAACAACCTCAAAAATTCTCCAATTCTCTCCCATAAACTAATAAAATGTTAAAATATAAAATTTAAAGTTAGATGTGGAAGTATAATGAAATGTCTTGTTAAAAAATTGAAGATTTTTTTTTAAAGTATATTGGAATAAGAGATGCAATATCTTCTTTTATGGTTTAATAAAATTTTCAAGTTAAAAGATAATATTAGAAAAACTCGATAGGAAATTCGATCTAAAAAAATCTTAGTGTGATAATGTAATTTCAGTTTTTATGATTAATTTATTTTTAAAAAAATATAGAGACTTTCTCCTGTAGAGTCAGGGTCAATTTTAAACAGTCAGATTTGATAAAAATCATATTAAATTAAAAAATTATATAAAATAGATATTTTTTTATATAAATCTGATGACTAAAAGTAAAAAATTATCAATAATTCGTTTCTTTTGATTCTAACCAAAAAAACTCTCAAAATTATAATAAATTCTTTCATTTTCACATATTTACAATTTGTTTACAAAACATGTTCAAAATATAGACATCATTCACTTCGCGGATTTGAGTTTTCAATTTGAGCTGGGATGTGACATTTTCTGAGAGTTTTTCACTGTAGTAAAAAAAGTTAGATGTGACATTTTCTGAGAGTTTTTTATTGTAAAAACTTAAAACTCAAAACTCAAATCGGTAAAATGAATGAGACCACAATGTGTTTGAACTTTTTTGTTTAAAATGAAAGATTTACCAAAACATTAAATCAACGATTTAATGCAGATTTGCCAAATGCCAAAGTTGGTTTAAACTATCTGAACAATTTTAACGGTCATTAAACTAATTATTATTTTTAAATATTGAATTAGTTATTTAACACATATCTATATTAAAAATTGATAACGCGTAAAATAGAATTATTCTTACTACATGCATAATTTAAAAAATTGTCCAATGATTAAAATACAATTCGTATTAATGGAGTAAAATAACTTTTTATACCATAAATGTTCTTATATTATTTTATTTTATTTTATTTTTTGCTCATCCATAAATGCCCTTTATTTATTCCGTTGCGAGTTGGAACTATTTTTTTTTTTTTTTTTGGCAGAAAAAGAAAACGCAAATATGAAATGTAGAAGAACGCCAAAAAGAGAAATAACCGACTATTTAATATAAAACAAACAGTTGGCATCACTTCCAATGTCATCTAATCATTACTTGCCACGTTTCATACTGATAGGCACGCGCAAAGGTAGCGAGTGGACTTGACTCTCAATCATGCACCTTTGCGCGCTTCGAATCCGGCAGCCGGAAGTCTCTGCACGCGCCTCTACCGGCGCTTCTCCCTGGGTGTTTAGGCTTTTGACGGCTTCTCTCGTGAAATATCACGTGGGCCCTTAGCACCTTTATCTAATTACTATGGACAAGTGGTGAAAAGTACAAATTGATTTTTGTAATGTTTTGATTTTCTTTTTCAAGTGACAGCAGTGCTTTTCACTTTTTTTTTGTTTTTTTCAAAACAGTGATGTCACTTGATTTGTTGTGAATTCGAATGGTTCACTTGGCGGTTTAACATGCACTACGGCAGCAATGAGTATCTTTAAATAAATAAATAAATAAATATATATAATATATATAAAAAT